AGAACTCCCAAACGAACAAAAATCATTAGCTGTCCAGTCAATTAGGACTCATGGTGAGGGCCCCCTCTATATAGCACAGAGAAGAACTTCCCCAAGGCTTTAAGTCTTCCAAGGCAGTACATCTCTACAGAATGAGATAGCTACATTTTTCTCATGTGGAATAGATGGTGGGTCTGAACAAACAAACTTTGGGCTAGCAACCGAGTGCTTTAAACACTGTGACAGCCAGGCCCAGCCTACTTAGCATATAGTGGGTACCACCTGTTTCATTTGTAGGACAAATATAGTCTAAGTCATTATGTCTGGACTAAAAGTAAACAAAAGGAATGTTTAGTACTGATGAGTAATATAACCAGAAAGGGATTTCACATTTAGAGTAACAGTGCTTCTCTCTGTTGTGCACAGGGTGGCTATGAGTCAAAACCAACTCAATAGTACCCATCAACAAAGTAAATGAGGTGATGAGGAATGATAGTCAGAGATGTACTGAAGATTACTGAAATACGCTTCAGTGGACATCATTTTAGTTAGTGAGAAAAACTTATTCAGAAGCCATACTTCGACGAGAGGCCGTCTTTCAAACAGAACAAGGGGCTACTGACTGCATGGTTTAAAATCCAGACCGGTGTATGTTTGGATTGTGTCTTTTCACCATACTTATTCAATCTGCATAGTGAGCGAATAGCCTGAGAAGCGGGACTCTATGAAAAAGAACATGGCATCAGGATAGAAGGAAGCTTATTAACCACCTGTGACATGTAGATGAGGCAACATTGGTTGCTGAAAGGAAAGAAGACTTGAGGCACTTACTGATGAAGATCAAAGAATATAGCCTTCAGGGTAGATTGCAACTCAATGTAAAAAGAACAAAAATCCCCACAACAGCCGTATAAGGAACAGAGAAAAGATATGAAGTTGTCAAGAATTTCTTTTCACTTCATTCCACAATCAACACTTACGGAAGCATCGGTAAAGAAATCAAATGACATCTTACAATGGGCAAATCTGCAGCAAAAGACCTCTCTAAAAGTATTAAAGCGCAAATACATCGCTTTGAGGGAATAGGTACATATAAAGCAAGCAATGGGATTTTTAATTGCCTCGTGTGCTGGACAATGGACAAGGAAAACTTCAGAAGACTTGGTGCACCTGATTTATGCTGCTGGCAAAGAATATCGAGGCACAAAACAAGTGCAACAAGGATGCTCCTTAGAAGCAAAGATGGGAAACGTCATCTTACACTTAGGGCGGCATCTTCTCAGGAAGGACTATCCTCTGGGAAAGGACAGGATGCTGGGTAAAGCAGAGGGTCAATGGAAAAGAGGCCTGTGAAGGAGATGGATTGACACGGTGGTTGTAACTGTGGGCTCACACATGACAAATCTGAGGATGGTGCAGGGCTGTGCAGTGTTTTGTTCTGCCATACCTAGGGTCGCTTTGAGTCAGAGCTGACTCCACAGCACCTAATACAACTATGAGAGAGAGAAAGGGGGGTTGGGGCAGAATGCTACCGAAATTGCTGCCACCCTAGAAAACATAGTCCCTGTTTCTGAATGTTCACACACTTCTAAAATGGACAAAACTCTCACATTTCCTCAAAGTTTCTATGGTATTTCTGTCACTTCAAAAGCAACACCTACTTCCCAGATGGTCTGAATAGCCTCAGATTCTCGTTAAGCATGCTAAACTGAACCCTCCATTTCAACAACTTGCCTGTTTTGATTTACTCCTTTGAACTATGCGTGTCTGTCTCTATTAACTAGGATATTGTTCTCGACCGACCGTGATTTTTCTCTTCAGTTCTCCAGCTCCATGCTCATGTTGTCAGTTGACATGGAGTCGGTTCAGAGCCATAGAAACCTTATGCAAAACACAGTCAAACGCTGCTCAGGCCTGTGTCGCCCTCACCATTGTTCCTATACTTGAGCCACTTATCAATGACCCAATTCCTTTTTTTTAAACTTATCAATGATTCAATGACATACTTTTAATGAAACATAATTTTTCCCCCCAAATTTTCAACTTTTTCTAGTTTTTCCACTTGGAAGACTCTATTGGTTTCTGATCTAATAATCTCCCTAGCTCACAATTATCTTGATTTATCTCTTTCCTTTCCTTTTCTTATCCACGTTGTCCTTGTGTAGATAAGACAGGTCTATTGTTCCACTCTTGGATTCACCATCTTTCTATCAGTTCAAAATGTAAAGCATAGCTTCTGTACCTCATTATCTCAGTACTGGCCTCCAAAATAACACCTTAAAGAGCCCCATGCTCTTAGCCCTCTTTTCCGATCTCTCATGGGCAGGTGATTTAAGACACTCATCCATCGTCCTTCTCCCTACCATCTGTCCCTCCTCATCTCAGGTTTCCCCCAGCTTGGGTTCTCTGTGTTACCAGACACATGACTGCTCACTCCCACCTCTAAGCCTTCACACATGCCATTCCTTCTGGCTGGAATGCCCTCGGTGCTTGCTGTCTTCTGCGAAGCCTTGTTATTCTCTGCCTGTCTAAGATATATGTTCTCAACATGACCTGCCTCAAATAACCCAACTCTACTCCCATGCATTCTCTTATTTCCATCGTCCTTTCATGATTATAGACCAGCATCTTTACAGTTCTGCTGGTTTATTTATCTTTCTTCACTTGAATGTCTATTTATTTTGCCACAGACATATAACCATGGTTTCTATCTCCATATCTTCTGCTGCCTCTAAAACCATCTTTTCTAGATACCCAGTGGGCATTTCTGCTTACTGGAGAAAATTAACTAAAATCGCAGCAGGGGAGATTACACTGGAGAACTAGCGAGTAGATGGAACATTTCCATTTCTGGAGAATACCATGGGCTCCCATCTGTTTTGGATGGTTTCCTTGGATGACTTAATGATTCAGATACACAACTGTGATAATAATCACGCCTGGTTTTTCTTCCACCTTTTTGTTCAGTGACCTGTTCATACCAGGTTTATATTCAAGCCTGTGTTGCCACATCTTCTCCCTCTTTGCCCCAAACACTCCAGTTAGATTCTTACCAGTATGAGAGATCAGCCTAGATATAACCTCATGGGAGCAACTGCCAATAATGTCCTCCGTTTTCTGTCCCCCGGGGAGAGAGTGAATTTTCCACCCCTTAAAAGAGAAAAAATATCTCTTTTCCACACTGAGGAGATATTGCAGAATGCTGGCAGCCTTCTTCAGAGAAGAGTGTTTATGTGCAATTGGGCATTGTACATCATCTGAACATTTAATAACCACATGTCCATGGCCTTTACCTACAGAAGATCTTTCCTTTTTTTAGGAAGAGGGAAAGGAGGAGTGGGTTGCTTGTATTTCCTCCTCCCCCGTATCAGGAAGGTATACATTTCTTCTAGAGCAATGACCATGGTCCCATTTTGTTCCTTAGACTGCTCCAAGCAGAAGAGACCAAGAAGTACTTAGCTGGGCTTGGGGACAGGGGACTTTTACTTCCAATTTCCCAACCCAAGCTGTGGCTCCCCAACACTCACTCCTGCAAACCCGGGATGGCGCTGCGAATACCAAGTGATTTTTCAAGAATCTGAGTTCCCTTTTGGATGCCCGGCACCCTGAGACCTGGGCCTGGCAGGGCACTCAGGTACCCTCCTTCCTTTCCACCTTCGCACGCCCGTTACCTGGCCTGTCCGCCAGCCCATCCGCCAGCCCATCCGCCCACGAGCTCTTCGGCTTGCTCCCTCCCTCAAGA